TAAAAATATTCAATTGTAGTAATACTCAGATAACCAGCTTACCAACTTTACCCAGCTCCTTAACGAAATTCGATTGTAGTTATACTCAAATAATTAGTTTACCAACATTGCCCAACTCCTTAACCGAACTCTATTGCTATGAAACTCAAATAACTAACCTACCATCTTTACCCAACTCTTTAACAATACTCAATTGTAGTAATACTCAAGTAAATAGCTTACCAACTTTACCTTAACAATACTCGATTGTAGTAATACTCAAATAATTAGCTTTCCTTCTTTACCCAATTCCTTAACAATATTCGATTGTAGTAATACTCAAATAATTAGTTTGCCAACATTGCCCATCTCCTTAACCGAACTCTATTGTAGTAATACTCAAATAACTAGCCTACAAAATTTACCAAATTCCATAACAATACTCGATTGTAGTAATACTCAAATAAATAGCTTACCAACATTACCCTACTCCTTAACAATACTCTATTGTAGTAATACTCAAATAAATTGCTTACCAACCTTACCCGACTCCTTAATGAAACTCATTTGTGATAATACTCAAATAAACAGCTTAACAACTTTACCCAACTCCCTAACGGAACTCTATTGTGGTGATACTCAAATAACCAGCTTACCAAATTTACCAAATTACTTAACAATACTCGAATGTAGTAATACTCAAATTATTAGTTTACCATCTTTACCAAACTCCTTAACTATATTCAATTGTAGTATAACTCAAATAATTCGTTTACCAACTTTACCTAACTCTTTCACGCAATTCGATTGTAGTAACACACAAATAGATAGCTTGCCTACGTTACCAAATTCTTTAACAATACTCAATTGTCATAATACACAAATAAATTGCTTATCAACTTTACCCATCTCCTTAACGAAATTTGATTGTAGTAATAATCAAATAAATAGCTTACCAATTTTACCAAACTCCTTAACGAAATTCAATTGTAGTAATACACAAATAAACAGCTTACCAACTTTACCCGACTCCTTGGCATTACTCAGTTGTTTTAATACTAAAATAAATATTTTACCAAATTTACCAAGCTCCTTAAATAAATTTAGATGTAGTAATACTCTAATAGAAATCTTACCAACTTTACCCAATTCCTTAACAATACTCGATTGTAGTAATACTCAAATAATTAGCTTTCCTTCTTTACCCAATTCCTTAACAATATTAGATTGTAGTAATACTCAAATAATTAGCTTACCATCTTTACCAAACTCCTTAATGGAACTCTATTGCTATAATACTCCAATAAAGAGCTTACCAACTTTATCTGACTTCTTAACAATACTTAGTTGTATTAATACTCTAATAAATAGCTTACCAACATTACCTATCTCTTTAACAATCCTCAATTGTCGTAATACTCAAATAAGAAGCTTACCAACTTTACCTAACTCCTTAACAATATTCGATTGTCGTAATACTCAGATAAATAACTTACCAACTTTACCCAGCTCCTTATCAATACTCGATTGTAGTAATACTCAAATTAATAGCTTACCAACTTTACCAAACTTCTTAACGAAACTCTATTGCCATCAAACTCAAATAAACTACCTACCAACATTACCAAATTCCTTAATAAAACTCGAATGTAATAATACTCAAATAAATAGTTTACCGAGTTTACCCGATTCCTTATTAAAACTCCTTTGTCATGAAACTAAAATATCTTTCCTACCAGCTTTACCCAACTACTTAAAAATACTTGAATGTAGTAATACTCAAGTAATTAGCTTTCCATCTTTACCAAACTCCTTAACTATATTCAATTGTAGTATTACTCAAATAATTAGTTTACCAACTTTACCAAACTCCTTAACGCAATTCGATTGTAGTAATACTCAAATAAATAGCTTGCCAATGTTACCAATCTCCTTAACAGAGCTCTATTGTAATGAAACTCAAATAACCTACCTACCATCTTTACCCAAATCCTTAACAATACTCCAATGTAGTAATTCTAAAATTATTAGTTTACCAACTTTACCTTACTTCTTAACAGAATTCGATTGTAGTAATACTCCAACAAATAGCTTATCAACTTTACCTAACTTCTTAATAAAACTCATTTGTAGTAATACACAAATAATTATCTTGCCAAATTTACCAAACTCCTTAACATTACTGTATTGCTATGAAACTCAAATAACTAGATTACCAAATTTACCTAACTCCTTAGCAATACTTGATTTTAGTAATACTCAAATAATTAGTTTACCTATATTACCTAACTCTTTAATAGAATTCTATTGTTATGAAACTCCAATAACAAACCTACCAACTTTACCCAAATCCTTAACAATATTCAATTGTAGTAATACTCACATAAATAGCTTACCACCTTTACCAAACTCTTTAACAGAACTTTATTACTATGATACACAAATATCCCATATACCAACTTTACCTAAATCCTTAACAAAACTTTTTTGTTTCAATACACAAATAAATAGATTATCAAATTTGCCCGATTCTTTAACGGATATCAGACTTTATCATTAAAAAAATTAATAATTCAATAACTATCCTACCAAATCTTTTTAGCCGAATTCATATTATATTTAAATTTCAATATTATATACAAATAAGAATAATTTAAAGCTTTCTAAAAGTTATGTAAGTTATCTAAAAAAAATTGTAATAAAATTTATCACAATTATATCGTTATATTATTTTAATGTAAAAGTTAACATTTAATATTTTATTAATTAAAATTATATAAGTTAAATAAATATTAAAGAATTTTATCAAAACTTTTCTGTAATTTATATTTACATTTATATATTTGAAATTTTCTTTACAATATATCTTTTCTTATCTTATCTTAAAAATATTATTCAATTTATTATTGAAATTTTTATATTATTGTAATATATTATTTATTTATATTTTATAAAATTTAACTTTAAAATTCATTTTCCAAAAAAAATTATAAAGTAGATAAATAAATAAATGAAATCCATGGCTACCAGAAAAGACCTATAATTATTTGTTAACATTAATTATATCAATATGATCTTTAAATCATAGTACAAATCATATGATTTACTATGTTTATAATTCATTTAATATTATAAAATAAATGTTTAATTTCAATAAAATATATAACATGAATAAAATAGAAACTTCTATAGAACTAACAAAACTTTTAATATTACTTAGAACTGAACTGTTTAGCATATTAAAAAAACCGAACTTTTTCTTTTCATATCATTAATATTTATATTTATGGTTACCAATACGGTGGAAGAAAGGTTATATAATTTGACCTAAATAATTGATAAGGTGTAGGGTAAGTTTGACGTCGGGATCTTTTTCGAGATTATCTTCCAACTAATTATATGCACTTCGTTGAATAAGATACTTTAATAAAGTATGGTAATTAAATAACGGACCTTTAAATGTGGGTGATTTGATTGTAATTCTAAGTTCCTTTAATTTTTTCTATTTAAATATTGCAAATAGTGTCAATAACCATTTGAAAAGGGGATCTTCCAAAGTATGGGAATTGCAACCCGACATAAATGTCGATTGACTAAAATGCACTAATGAAGTCATTTCGTAAGTTTTTTATAATAATATTTGGAACATGCCATATCGTCTGAGAGTAGGGGAAAAGATTTTATTGATAATTACATCATTTTGGTTTCACTACAATGATCGTATTAGGTAATAATCAAACATGGTTTCTTTCACGTGATAAAATTTAACTAATATATGAGACAAATTTCCTAGCTACCTAATACTAATAATAATCCTAATCCTAACCATAACGATAACATAACTAATTTAATGCTAAATATCCGGCAATTAAATCCGGTTACCATTTTTTCTAGGCTAGGTAGGGTCGTTTGATATCATGAGATTCAAAATATTTCTTGGGACAACCATATGGAAAATTATCCGAAATGATACATTTGTTTAATAATAATAAATTTCGAGAATGTATTTTTTACGAATGAAAATTTTTATGCGCAGTTCTACAAGTAGGCGGGATTTAAAACTCGCAATAAAACATAATATTTGTTTACAAATTAAGTCATCAAGTAAAAAAAAAAGTTATTATTTTTTTTATAAGAAAATTTTCAAATGACTTTCCAGGAAAAAAAAAAATAAAAATAATTGTTACGGTTTAAAAAAAAAAAAAAAAACTAATTAATTAATAATACATTGGACGTATCACGTGAGTATTATGTCCTCGAGTGGTAGTTAATAGTTTAATATACTGAATGAAGAAAGAATAAGTGAAAGAATGATGTTTAAAGTGTTAAGAGTTTATGTTTATCCTCTTTTTGTCTAATGACATTGGTTAAGTTATAGAAATTTCACAAGGTTTTATCATTCCTGGTCCGCAGATTATGTAAAGTTATACTTGGTGGTAAACTAGACTGGTATTTCGAACTTTTTTCTAATATTAATGAAATAACTTGAAATAAATCTTGATTGTAGAATCTTATTTCAAATATACTAGAGATAACTCTACTCTTCGATACAGAATTGCGTCGGTTGCTGCGGTTAACTTTCAACATCGCACAAAGAAATGTAATATTTTAATATTATTTATATTCTTGTATTCTAATAGGATTCTAACAATTACAGTGCTTTTATTGAAGTTTTAGATAGCTGATAAATAAATCATACCGATAATTCAAACTTAAATTACTACATAGATTTTATACAATAAATCATATTATAAAAACAATTTTTACGAAATTGTTCCGATGGCGCTGTAATTTGGCGTTTCATACAAATCAAAATAATAATTATAACCCTCCTGTTAAAACGTAAAAACTAAATAAATTAAATGAATGAATATATTACAGTAGCTGTTAAAGAGTTCACATAAAAAAATTTCAAATGCTGATTTTTCGACAGCTGACAATCGAAAAATATTATCTTATTTTCATGATCGAGAAAGCGGTCATACAAGTAAACAAATAAATACAATAATGGAAATTTTACAATGTGCAAAGGCGTTAAAGTTCGTTCAATAAAATCGCATGCAGTATCTGATACACAACCTATGATACGACGTGGCACGGACGATGATCGTTATATAATGAACGAAATCTCAACGTTTCTCGTTCTCGAAATATCTTCAACTTACCAAATGATTTCCTTTCGCTTGCCAGAATTACCTTCAGATTATTTAGAACCTTCTGTAACCAATGAATCTCATGATACGATCATAGAAATCAATGATCGAGCGTCCGAGGATATCAAGATTTTCGATGCGCATTCGAGCGTGCTTTGCAGAAGATGCGAATATTTCAAGGTCGCTTTATCGGAAAATTGGGCAAGAAAAGTTGATGATAAGTTTAGACTAAGATTGGAAGTTTCATCCGAAGCGTTTAAAATAATATTAAGGTAAAGTTCGTTCGCGTATGATTTGATTCTCTTTCTTCTTTTTTTTTCTTTAATTATAACTCTGGTGATTTTGGAATTCTCAGAGGAATTTGTAGCGGAACGATTAATTTGAAAAAAACGAACACGAGTATTTTGATGGAGTTAATGCTGGCATCTGATATTCTTCTCCTCCATGAATTTTTCAACTATTTAAGATCCAAATTAGATGAAAAAAGGAATGAAAAAAAGGAATGGTGTGATGAAGATATTGTTTCTATATTAAGAATTTCTTATCGAATTCCATCCGCTCAAGATCTCTATTTATACTGCCAAGATCAATTTGTTGAGAGACCGATGATTTTATTTGGGTCTCCGGAGTTTCTATCGATTGATGAGGAATTATTGTTACGTATTTTAAAGTTAGACGTGATTTTCTTGCCAGAGATAATGCTATTTAATAAATTAATTGAGTGGGGTATTGCAAACACCCCCGATTCATATCTCATCGATGATTTGGGAGTTACTATAAAGGATGGATTGCAATTGATTCGATTTTATAACATGAGTATAGAAGAAAGAAATGCAACTCTCAAATTTGAAAACATATTGCCATCACTGGAAGTTCAATTTCAAATCCCGCCTCGCATCAATTCACCTGTTGAACCAAAGATTCTGAGTAGTAGATTTGTCGGATTAATTGCGACATGGATTGACAGAAAGGATCCCAAGAAAGATTCATACACGGGATATAATCATCCATTCGAAATTAGACACAAATTTCGTATGAACGATCGGACGACCTTTTATGAAGAACATCACAACTACTACAATAAATCTTCAAATAGAATCTTACCAACAATGAAATGTCACCACGGACCTTCACTGATGATAATGAAACTTAAAATTTCAGGAAAAATAATTGGTGCTTACAATCCCGTTGATTGGAAGGGGGATCTAACAAAGAAAGCGAATGCCTGTGCAACCGAAAGCTTTATCTTTTCTTGTGATGATAGGTATGGAACGAACATTCGGTTTAGCAGAGTTCGTGACTTTGAACACGCAATGAGTTTAAAGAACGTGAAACCCAGTGGCGTATTATTAAAATTTGGTGAAGATTTAACATTTGAATATTTGTATAAAACTGTCAGTTGTTATATTAAAAACGAATCTTATGAGTCAACAATATTAGAAGAGGGTAGGTATGGAATTGAAAGTTGGGACATTTATAGAGTCAGAAGAATAGATGGTGATCCATCAATGGTAATCAATGAAGAAATTATAAAAGAAAATCAAAATCAACCTCGCATACGATTTCCCATAGAAACAAAGATTATTGATGACGATTTTTTTGGATTGATCGCGACATGGATCGACAAAAAAGATCCAATGAAAGTTCGATACACTGATTCTAACATGCCTTTCCAATTTACGCCCTTATTTCGCATGAACGATAATACAACTTTTTATGATGAACATAAAAAATATTATAATCAATCAACGGATAGTTTATTACCAACAATGAAATGTCACCACGGACCTTCATTGATGATAATGAAACTTAAAAACTCGGGAAAAATAATTGGAGCCTATAATCCCATCAATTGGAAAAAATCTTTTGAACTTTGTGATTATGAATCCACAACAGAAAGCTTTATCTTTTCAAGCGAAGATATACATGGTACAAATCATCGATTGAGCCGAGTTACACGATATCATCGAGCAATTTGGGCGGAAAAGTTATACTCTAATACTTTTTCAAAATCCGATGTACCCAACGGTGTGATGCTAAAGTTTGGTGGTTTGAGATTTGTTTATCACGACAGATCTGATACTGTCTTATGTAGAATTAGTCAAAACGAAGATTATGAGCAACCAGCCATAACATCGGTAGGCGATTACAAGATTCAAGAATGGGAAATTTTTAGAGTCACTAGATTCGATAATCAAATTCCATCTCGCATTGATTCACCCATTACTCAAATATTAATTGATGACGAATTTGTAGCATTAATTTCGTCATGGATTGATGATATAGATATGGAAGATCCATATACTGAATTTGACATGCCATTTCAGTTTAAACTTTTATTTCGCATGAACGAACGTACAATTTCTCACGATAAATATTATAATCAATCAGCATACAAAATGTTACCAACGATGAAATGTCACCATGGGGCTTCACTAATGATAATGAGGATTAAAGGTACTGGGCAAATAATTGGTGCCTATAATCCTATCAATTGGAAGAAAGAATTACCAAATTGTAAGAATCAATATGTTTACACATCAGAAAGTTTTATTTTCTCAAGTAAAGATGTATATGGAACAGATCCTCAATTAAGAAGAGTTAAAGATTCTGATAAAGCGATTTCTCAAGTAAATGTATATCCCAGCGGCATTCTTTTGAAATTTGGTGAGGATTTAAGCTTTGTTTATGATCATGGAAATTTACATATCGAAGAACCAGATTATGGAGATGAAAACTATGCTAGATTTCCTAATGTTATGTGTGACGTCAAGGAAAATGGATTTTATGAACAACCAACTATACTTCCTGAAGGTAGATATGTGATTGATCAATGGGAAGTATTCAGAGTTATTAGAACTGAGGACTCATATTAGAAATTTTTAAATGCAATTGCCAGTAACTTATTAAATTTGAGAAAAAAATAAATCTATCTAAAAGTCTTATTTATTTATAATACTATCGATTAAATTCTTCAAAATTTTTTTACATTATGTATTCTAGCATTATTTATAAATAATATTTTTTTTTTTTTATAAAATGGCAACGTTGTGAAATAATTTGTTTTGTTTATTGATTAATAATTACAAATTTTAGAAATAATGAATTTTAAAATGTAAAATAAAATTATGAGCACTTCATAAAAGAGTTGCTGATTATTTCGTCTCAACCCCTCATATAAACAAAAAAAATATAAGTTTATTGTTTCTGATAAGTTTAAAGTTTTTTTTTTTTTTATACACGTTAAAGTATTTTATTAATTAAATAAATATGTAAGAATACTGCGACAGAAGAAAATATTTTTGATTTTTATTTAACATTTTTTTTTTTTTTTTTGAAAAATTTATTTAAATGTTCTGTTAACTTGTTAAAAATTCTTTATATATCTACAAACGAAAAAAAAAAATAAAATTCAAAAAAAGACGTATTGCAAAAACAAATTTCAGTATCTCGCAAAAAAAGTCCAAATTTAGTCGGATTAATAAATAAAAATTTATCTATTGTTTTTTAAGATGCCGCCTCCGACGACGTTATTTATTTCTGAAATCAATAAACATACATTGTTTTCAATAAGGCCACGCACATTAGCATTTTCGGTTCACGAAAAAAAGTTTTATATGTAAAAATTTTATCTCGTGATTTCGAAATATAATGCTGTTGTATTCAATTCATTCGTTTATGTATTTATATACAATTTTAAATGTAAGCAGAAGGGTTTTCAATTAAATATTTATGATGTAAATGTTATTCAATAATCAGTGTTGTCTCAACATTGACGTTCCTTAAATAAATGATAATCACTAAAGGCTAATTAAAACTACGCAAAATATTAAAACAACGAAATTAAACGAATTTACAGCATAAAATTATGAAGTTAATATCGCAAGGAAAATATTATAGTCGAAATTGATCTTCAAACCAAACAAACCAAGGCGAAATTAATGATTTTTTCGGGATGAATTATATCCAATGTAACAATACGAATTTTTATGGTATTAACACTTTATTGACTTATAATCAAATCCTTTCTCGTCATTTCTTGGTTTACTTGATTTTTTGTCTTTTCTTTGTATCGTCTTTTTTTATCTTTAACTGATACATTACAGTATTCACAATACTCGAATTATTCCTTAAAAACCAACCAATCACATCGTTACGATTTACATATAAAATTTTTTTATAAACAATTTAATGTTATTTGAACCGAATATGTTAATGTGCGTGGCCTAATAATGGACGTTACGTATAATAACATTCCCATGTAATAAAGTTATTTTTACTATTTTCGTTTACGTTGTTAAGCCTAAACTGTACGTCGTTAGGTTAAAATTCTTATTTTCTAATTGGGAGTTTAAGTATATTAAACTATGAAAGAAATAAACAAAGTTAATAAATTGAAGGATCGGTTCGTCTTTATTGAGATTTATTTATGAAGAAAGAAATATGGTTAAGAGAAAATACAAATTTATGGTTAAAGATATTTATTATTTGAATAATTGTTATCGACTCTGCCTTTTTACTGAGGCAACGATACAGGATATTTATATAAATTACAAGAATAATAAAGTGATAATATAAATATGAAAATTAATATGATACAGTAAATATAAATTAGGAAAACTATGATAATGGTGATGTCAGTGAAAATCGTGATATTCGTGATCACGGTGATTACTATTTTCTCAAAGATCACTCATGGTATGGCACAGTACTCTTGTGACATCAATGGTCCATCAATAACAACGTTTTGTTCCAATTTCTATATCCATCCAATTTTTAAGGCAAAAGCTTGTACATGCTGGGACTGGACCGGATTAAGTTTGTTTATTTGTTCAGTCGTTCCGCAGAAACACTTGTTGTTTTTATGCCAATTAATTTCGAGCAATCTTGTAGTCAAATAAAGTCATTTGTTTCTTTGGGGTCGAAATAATTATTCACAAAATATGTGGTTCATTGATAGATAGATGATATTGAATTCAAATCCTTACATTTCAACATGAATTAAAAAAATTTTTTTTCTTCGTACATTTTTTTTTAAAAAAAAAAAATCGGCGGAATATTAACTAAGGCGGACTTCCAGATGACAGCTTAGTTAATCTTCTAGAGTCATGCATTTCGAAGCATAATATTAAATATCGCAACTTTACAAACGCCATTACTCACTATAGTAGAACACAGTATATATATAATTATTTAAAATGATTGACTATGCTGAAAATAATCCATAATGTATCATTTAAAATGAATAAAGTAATTAAAGTAGAATACAAAAAAAAACAAATATATAAAAATATAATCGATCCCGTACGTTGTTCATGTCCATATTCATGGAGAATTATCATGTTGAAATGACTTGTTTAAACGAATTTCCAGCTTTATAAGAACATTCAAAGTATCTCAGGAAAAAAATTTTTTTCTTGCCTTGACAAAATCGATTACTAAAGTGTGTTGTGTGAATCGAAAACTGTCGAAACACACCAAAATCGAAAGGTTTTGACTTTAGTAAAAATGGGATTTGGGATTTTCCCCGCAACCTTAGTACAAGCTCTATACATGTAGAATAAATTATCTGAAATTTCTTTTTCATTTTTTAAAGTCGCATAACTAAAACATGAAATCTGCCCTTCTAAGTGAACTTGTATATTTATTGAATTCTTCTTTATTTTTTTATAAATTGATTAAACCTTTTTTGATATTATAATTAAATTTCAGGTGGACATAGGCAACAATAAAGTAACACGCGATTAGATCAAACCAGCGTGAAAGAGTCATTACATAATTCTAATTCTTTGTAATTGTTGGTTATGAGAATTTATTAAGACTATTTTCTCTCCTTTAATAAACTAATTTCATTTTTGCGATGTAAACGTGTACCTTAATGAAAATTGTATTGATTGGCTTTTGCAATTACACAAAAACCTAGATAAAAGCAATACTAGTGGATCGTTCCGGACTTAATAACGGTTCCCGTTTCCTAGTATAATAAATAAAATGAAAAATCTTTACTAAGATATTATGAATAGATCCCTAGACCAGTAGGTATAAGATCACTATAAATCTCAAAAAAGTAGTCCGATCCCTCACTTTTGCCCACATACCTTTGTAATTTTATTAAATTTAAAATAAAAGAGAACTATAACAATGATGATAAATTATTTTTTGCACCAAAATCAGTCAATTTAAAAATTCCTTATAAAAATTTAAAGAAATATTTCGTCTGCAATTACAATCTAACATGAGACAGTAAATCATATGCTCCATAACAAGATTATAATAACAAACTTTCCATATTTAAAATTAATGTTTTTCTGATGACCTGCGAGAGAGGACCCACCTTGAATTTCCCTAAGTTGAAATGTTGATGATACTAAACAAAAAGTAAATATGCAAATATAAGTTCTTTCATTACAATCAATAAAAATTGGAGAAAATGGATTGCTAACGAGAAGTGCTGATGGATCTTCCACATGACCTAGTTCAGAACTGATTGTGTATAACTTTAATTCAAGTAGAAAATTAAATACGGTGTCCATACAACCGTGTAAACTAAGTAATTTTCATGGGCACTTTTAGAAAAATAATTCATAAATGTATATAATCTTCTTGAAAAACCAATATATTATGAACAATTGAATTATTATTAATGCGACAAATATAAGATTGCATCGCCACTAGGGATGCTAATGGTACGTGATTTAACAGACTGGTTTGACTTGATTTTGAGATTTTGACTGGCTGAACATCCATTTTTAATTAGTAAAGAAGTCTTTGTATTTAAATTAACATCGTTCAATAATATATTTTTATTTATTTATATATATAAATTGAAATTGTGAAATATTGAAAAAGTTCACGATAATGTTTTGTCACTAAATATATTTAATAATCAAGCATAAAAAAAATATATTACATAGAGAAATTTTAAAAATGCTATGCCAAAAAATTAATATTATAATATTTAACTTTCTAATAAGCCATGCTAAATCAATCATGCGGAAATTAAATTATATTACTATTAAACTTTCAGTCAACCTGTATGTTAAAATCGGTCTGTCAAAGTCCTTTGAACAACCATTGGCCGACCGTTGATCAACCATGACCATCTTTAATTCTGAGATTCTGAATTTGTAATGATTTTAAACTGTGGCTATCGGGATTATAGAACTGTCAGGTTTATGACATCAGGATTTTAGGCTATTGTAGATTGCAAATTGGCCGAGAACGACTTCCTTTTTACTACAAAAGCTAATGCTTATCTAGGCACATTTCTGAATAATGGATGGAACTTACCGATCTTTTATTACTAATCATGTACCTAGTTCACAAGATAATTTTAGAATTATTTTATTAGCATATGCACTAATGTCCAGTAAGCCTGAGATTCTATTTGAAAATTAGTTGATTTTTAGTATACAACTACAACCTTCAAGAATCTTTACCGAATTTGAACAGGTGGCAATTAATGCTTCAAGTAGAGAGTTACAAAGCGGAAGTTTTTTTTCACTTGGGACAAAGTGGCTGGCGAATATACAACCTTGTGGATTGGCAAAAAATTTATAAGCATTTGATATATTGAAGTAAGAAATTCCTTCAGAGGAAAACAAAGTAGTATACTGGTTTGAGTGTAATTATGTTCACGGAAGAATTTAGCGTTAACTGCGATATTTGTGCAACCACCGTAAATTATGGTCTCAATGGAATTGGGAATTCCACAAACACAAATGCTTCTGCCATATTTTGATTGGTCATAGTTCATGTAGGGGTTATACAATTATTAATGAACTACAAAATTATAATAAAAACAGCAATGAGATGTCCTTCAAGTTGATATTATTATTCATGGTGAACAACGTTAAATACCAAAAAAAAAAAAAAT